GAAAGAAGGAAAGAAGGAAAGAAAACACAGACACAGGCAATAGTATGGTGATTATCAGAGGGAAAAGAGCATGGGGGAGGTAGAAGAGGGTAAAGGGGGGTAAGTGGTGATAGAAGGAGACTAGACTTGGGGTGGTGAGCACAGTGCAATATACAGATGATGTGTTATACAGTCATACACCCAAAACCTATATAATTTTATTAACCAATGTCACCCCAATAAATTCAATAAAAATATTTTTTAAAAAAGCAGAAAGGGATTTCTACAGCCAGAGATGGAATGGGAAAGGCATTGACATATTTGCTGATCGAGAAACTCATCTTTGGAGCTTGTTTCTCTGATTCCTTTTGTCGATAAGCGTTGAGCTAAAATCCATGTAAGCTAGATACAAATCTAAAGTGAATCTTTAAAATTTTGTTTGCTCAGCTGAAGAACTTTTATTAAAAAAGTAAATGTTCTTATCAAGGTTACTTTTTATTGAAACCGCTTCCAACTTTGCTTATGCTATAGAATCACAATTAAGATTTAGGTAGAAACAGGTCTATCAAGCGTGAGAAAAGCTAAAGGCAAGTTTGGAGATGAGCCACGCTGGCTGGGCGGTATTATATCTTTACAACTTAGTAGCTGTGACTTTGGGCAAATTGCACCTTCTTATTACATCTCCTTTTCGGTGTTAAAGACTAAATGAGATAATGAAGTACATAGCACAGAGCCTGGCCAGTAGGCAGTATTGAATATTCTTGTATTTTGTTTTGGTTTGTTTCGTCATTGTGAAGCCTTTGGTTATTGGACAGAACAAAGGTGATTAGCCTTAGTAGAAGTTGAAAGCATGGCCATGGGAACAAAAGCAAATAACCCATTTGAATTCTGGGCCAGCAGGAAGGCACCTTAGTTCTGTCCCATTGAGAAGCTTAGTCTTTCTTTACTTGTAGCTCCACTGCCTTTGTTTCATAATTACTGCAGATCCTCATTCATTGGTTCACCCTACATTTGTTGAGGTCCTGCTCTGTGCCCCCGCACCGAGCTCTAAGTGCTGGGTGATAGCACGCAGACAGAAGTCCCTGCCCTCCTAACGCTTACCTTCTATTATGTTCAGTTACTTGTGTCCATTTCCCTCCTAGAATGAGTGCTCCCCGTAAGGCAGTGACTGTCTAATTCTTCTTGAGTTTTAGGGATGTAACTGAAATTTTACTCCAAGCTAAGAATAATTTCTGGGCTAATGAAAGAATTATTTCTACAGAAGTATTGGAAGCCAGGGCATCCCATCTTCTATTCACCAGGCTGTCTGTTTATTTTAGCGCTGGCCGTTAGCCTGTCCAGACTCCTCAAACAGGAGATGTTCTTACTGGAACTTTAAGAGGCGTTCAGGTTTATTATTATTTATGATAAAGTTACTTTTTGATATCTTTGTTTCTTTGATTTCCTTAAATGTCCTATAAATGTGTGGAGCAGCGTAAAAAATCCTCTTTCTTTATACATCAAAATACATAAGACAAAACTAGCACAAGAGGCTTAATTACATGATATAATAAATAAAATATTCTGATATAATTGAAAAAATACATGATATGGCAAGGAAGTCCAACTGTGAGGGGGAAAAAGTGATACCTTTTATTCTGTGATGTCAAGAATATTAAATCTTTCCCTACAAGTGAATTATTATAATTTTAAAGGAGACAGTATCATAAAGTTTTGTGTTGAATGTCACTTATTAGCCACGTAGAAGCTGAAAATAATTTTAAATATCCTTGGGTGCAGGCTACCGTGTTATATTCTTCACCCAGGAAGTCATCAATAAATACTATAACAGTAAATACTATACAATAAATACTATAGCAATAAAGTAGTTGCCTTATTTTTGCATTGGAAATACAATTAAAGCTTTTGGTCCCATAAGGAGCAAATGGCTGGTAATGTTCCTTATTTTTTTAAAAGTCGTTTGTCCAAGAGGGAAGATGCCTGGCAGAGCAGCTGGCTGTTCATTTGAGAGTTTGACATTGCCTCTCCTTGGGACCCTGGTGCTGGGCTTTCTGATAACCAGTGCAAACTCCATGAATATCTTTCATTTCTCTAGAAGGAGGCTACCAGCTGGATATGCAAATACTACCCGACGGCCCAAAGAGTGATGTGGACTTTTCAGAGATTCTTAATGCAATTCAAGAAAGTAAGTTGCACTCAAATTTTAAATTCGTCGTGAAAGAAGAAACTTTTAATACTTGGGTGGGGGACTAAACCTAGAAACCTTGGATGCCAGGCTCTAAAAAAATACAGTGATGTCTTAAAAGAGATATGGGTTAACTGATGTTGAGACCAGAAGAGATGGTTAGTGAAATTGAGATGAAAAGAGATGGTTAGTTAAATTTGTGAAATTGTGAATCACGTAATATTGGGGTCTTTGAAGAAGCCTAGTGGAATGATAAATTCTGTAGATGGAACATGCTATCATATTTAATAAATCAGTGGGTATTGTAATTTGTTAAATTCCTGGATTGATCATACTGAAAGAAAAATCTATTAGAAACCAGAATACTGTTCCTTTGCTCAGATGTAAGTAGTAGGAAGTGGGCGTTGATGCAGGAAGCCAAAATCAGGAACTTATTCTCCAAAACGGGGATCAGGAGTCATTGATGATGGGCTGTGACCTGCAAGTGAACCTCTCTCTCGTCTAAGCATTTTGATTAATCAAGGTTTACTCTTCCTACACTACCTTATTTGTGTTTTACGGTTTTCACTAAGAATTTTATCATAATTAATGCATTTACCCCAGTTATAGATTTAGCCCTGAGGATGGGTGACGTGGTGTCACATACTAAGTCATTAACTTCTGTGTTTCATCATCAGAGCTCTAATTCTAGATAATGATGCTGCTCTTCAAAGAACAAACAGTATATTATATAATGTTGCACTTGAAGGATTTGGATGCAAAGATCATGCACTGCATGAAGAACCACTGCAGTTTTTTGCTAACTTTAGTTTTGTGACATTGCATTTCTATATGAATTTTTTAAATAAAGAATAGTAAGCATTTTAAGTGGTCCCCTTTTGTCATTATACTACTCTCCTAACCTTCCGAGAGCCTGTCTCCACTTGAGAGTTTGGACAGCTTAGGGTGGGAGAAGTTAAGTACCAGGTAACGTGGTGAGTAACGGAGACCAGGCTTGAAGGGAGGGTTTCCTGGTGAATGTGCTCGTGTAAGGGCCTAACCCCCCGGAGGTGGACGGCCCCAGCGCTGACGGCGAGGCTCGTTCTGAGACAAGGACTTTCCATGAGGAACCTACGAGGACCGTCTGTTTGCTCTGGCTGGGCGGTCCCTTCAGATTAGGCTCGTGAAGAAAAGAGAAAAATTTCCCCAGGAGAATAAGAATAAAATTAAATTAATAGACATTAGAGAGAAAATAACTTTTCATGGGAAGTTGTAAAATGATGTAATTACTTTCTTTGATGTGAAAGAAGATAGATTATACAGAGCTGAAAGGATTTAAAAATGTTTTAATAAATGATAAAATGACTTCTGTGCAAGTACAGGAGGTGAATTTTTTTAGGGCTGAATGAACTTACACCAGAATGGACTAAGTGTTTATGAGACTATTTTTATGGTAATTTTTGTTTACACATCTTAGTAAAAACATTTGTATATGATGTTTTATAGCTTTGTAGTTCAAAGTGGTGACATCTTTATGAACAGGTAGAAGAGTATAAGTCTGTGAGTACTTAATATTTAAATTTAAAAATAAGAAAAAGAAATGTTACTTCACTTTAAAATGCAAATCAAATTTTTTATAGGTGTAAGAATTTTCTAATACTTTGGAACTAGTCTATTGTCTTGTTAAAAGCTAAGTTTTATGCTAAGTAGGTTTGCGAAGCTGCTCACGTAACCTGGGTTACGAAAGATTTGGTACAGATTTCTGGTACGAAAGATTTGGGCTATTTATCTACCTTTAGTTTCTGTCTAGATTCTGTATATGCATCACTGAAATTTTTAAGTATAAAAATACATGGTTTGGTTCCTCAAGGGACTTGTACCATAGAATATTGTTTATGGACTTTGAGAGACCAACATATAAAAATGTAAAAAAATATATGTAGGATTTAAACATCAGTAAAACTCCTTCTCTACTACTTTTTTAGCAAGATGATGGAAAGAGTTCACTGTGTTCTTAGAATTTTGTGGAATGTGTATATGGCCTTCAGGATCCAGCTATAAGAGTGTGTGTGTGTATGTGTGTTTCATACATTTCTTGAGTCTGAGATAGACCAGACTCAAGAAATGTTTTAAGATTTTTATTTTTAAAACAACCCTAAGTAATAGCAGATACTAATTTCTTCATTGTAAAGGTGAAAAAACTGAGTATACCTCCCCAAGGCTATATGGTTAATATATGATAGAGTCAATATTTAATCATATATCAGCCCTTGTTCTGCTAAACAAAAGATTAAATAAAAGTGATTAAGAAAAATGTACTACTTTGGATTTAAAAAAAATTATATTACTGTGTTGTTACACCGTAATGTAAGAATTCCTCCCCATGCTTCCACACTGTAAAGTGCATTTGCATTTTTTCCTGTAGTGCTTATGCCCTTTAAATAGCTTCATTATCAGAAAAATATTTCTCAGAGACGCTGGCCATCCATAAGTTGTTTCTCAACTTCCCTCATATCAGCTACACAACTTATAAGGAAGAAAAGAGTTACTCTGTCCCTTCATCCATCTATACATGCGCCCATCTCACTGGTTATGTGCCAGGCACTGTGCTGGGCATCACATTTTAAAGCAGCGTTGAACGTTTTGGTGCATAGTTTAACTCAGGGAAAATTAAAACATTTGTAGATCACATTTGGTTTCATTGTTCAAATCGAGAACGAGTTGATTGCTTTCTAGGAAAAAAGCATTTCAATGTGGCCATATAGTGTGTGCGTGTGTGAGTGTGTGCGCGTGTTCCTTGAGGTCACTTCCCCCTTCTCTTTCTTCTCTCCTCACCCCATGGTGGCAGCCAGGGGATGCCTGGAGCTCCCTTGTTTCAGCAGAGTTTCGTGTTGTGGAAAGTTCCTGGCTTTTGTTTTCTGCAGGCCTGAGCTTCGGGTAGGAGATGCTTGGATAGAAGGAGGAGGGTGGGTGGGGAGAGAGGGGGAGGGGAGACGGGAGAAGGGGGCGGGAGAGAGAGGGAAGGAGACAGACAGACCTTGATTTGTGGTTCCTCTTATTCATGCATCATTGGTTGACTCCTGTGTGTGCCCTGACAGGATCCAACCCGCAACCATGGCCTATTGGGGCGACGCTCTAACCAACTGAGCCACCCGGCCAGGGCCACGTGGGGACTCTTGAGTGGCATTCAGACCCTAGCAGACACTATTGTGTTATAGTCTGTTAGGTTCTAATGAAGGGAAGAGAGCAAAGAGCAGAGGGTGTGAAATGAGAGTCAGATACGCTTTCACGTATAATCTCAATATATAAAACAGATAACTGGGCCTTTTGGGGTAGGATGGGATGGGGTGGAGTGAGGTGGGGGGTAGAGGGTGCAGGGCTTCGCCCACTCAGTTTCTTCTTTACCCTCTCCATGGTTTCCTGAAGCTCCCAAAAGGATCTGGGGTTCCACGGAACACACTTGGAAAACCACTGGCCTATTGAAAAGGAAGAAAGCTAGCTAAGAAAGGATTTATGTCCTTTCCAGTGACTTCATTTATTTATTTTGAGTTTTCTAAATTAGCCCCTCTTTTTTTCTCTCTCTCTTTCCTCTCTATTGGTAAACCAGGAGGTTTCTGCCTTGGGGACATTATCAGATTCATTTGAAGAGCAGTGAACATCTAGAGTCCTAGGCTTGCTAATGTCATCTAAATGCTAAGTACTGTTTAGTTTTTAAAAATCCCAGCCTAAGGTGCTCAAAGCTGTGCTGAGTCTGTGTGTTTCCCTGAATTTTCAAAAACATTTAATCTGATCTATTTGTTAAAGTTTAAAACGTGTCAGATCTGTCAGCTGTAGATGTAAAATCTAGCTTTATTTAGAACTGTGACAACATAATTGTTTGGTGGTTAGATGACTTCCTGCTCTTGAAGCCTAACGTGATTTAAGAATAATAGAATGCTTTCCAAAAGCAAAAAAGGAGCTGGTTAGAAGTAGCGTGGATTTAGGAGTCAGAACTGGGTTAGAATTCGTCTCTGTAACTTACTGGCTGTGTGGCCTTGCTTAGCATCTCTGGACCTGGTTATTTTCTCGTAATATCTGTCTCATTAGGTGTTCTGAGGATGAAAAGAGAAAACAGACCTGACAATTCTTGAAACGCAGTTTTCAATAAATTGTTGTCTCTTCTCACTTCCTTTAAATTTAATCTCCGAGCCTAAGAGAGAAACAGATTCTTTTAAATAATCTCACTAAGATAATTAGAAAGGGAAAGATAGTAGTTTATATAATCTTACAACTAGCTTTCATTTGTTTTAAAATGGACATTGAGTGCCTCTTATTTGCTAGCAATTTTAGAGCTGCCCTAGACATAAAGGGGCCCTAGACATAAAGATGAACTTGTAAAACAGCCAGGTAAGTGTCAGGTTGAGATATAAACAACCTTCTGTGCATTCTAAATTGTTCCTGAAGGTGTCCCTTTTTTTTGCATTTTCTAATGAGGTCAATATGCCAATATGTTCAGGTTTCCGAGTATCAGCTGTGATAATGTGGAACTCAGGACAAAAATAGTGTAATGAACTGGCACTCTGAAGGACAAATAGGGACTTAGCTTATGCCTCTCAACCCCCTCCTGGCTTCAGTGACCTATAATTTCACTTTGTTTTCTCTGCATCAGAAAATACTGAGACCAAAGGACTCCTGTCCTTTAGCACCAAGGTGGGGTGATTCCGCTGCATGTGGGAAAGAGAAAGAGAAGAGCAGTGAGTCCACTATTTGATTTTTGGGGTATTTATTTCTTATTCTCTTTTAGACAATTTCTAAAATGTATTTACTGTTTGTTGTTTTGTTGCTGTTGTTGTTTTCATTGCTGTATGACTCTGGCCCTCTGGTTTCCCCGGGATGGTGTATAGCGAGCCGGCCGCAGAAATCTCTTTGCTGCGCTGCATTTGGGGAGCTGCTCAGACTCTGCTGCTGACTTTCGCTCTTCCCAGGCAATTTGGGTTTCTTCACCCTTGCTCGGTGGTTATATGCGGACGTACATCTCTGCTGTTTCGTTTCCAGGTCTTTCTAGGCGGAGTGCCTGCTTTTTGCAAAACAGAATAATTTGGGCGTCTCCCCTGCTTTACCAAATGCATGCTGCCCAGCCGCCCGGACCCATCTTAGCTGCCCGGTTCTGTTCACACAGCCCTTCCTGAGTCTAAATGCAGTGGAAGTCCATTATTTGGGTTGCATGAAGCTTTTGCATTTGCATTCTCTCTCCTAGTCATTCTTCTTTTTTTTTAAATCATCACCCGAGGATATATTTCTAATGATTTTTTTAGAGAGAGAGAGAGAGGGGAAGGGAGGGAGGCAGGGAGAAAGAGAGAAACATCTAGCGATTGCCTCCCGTACGGGCCTGGACCGGGGATCAAACCCACAACCTAGGTAGGTGCCCTGACCAGGAATCGAACTCGCTGTCGTCTTGGTTTACAGGAGGATGCTCCAACCAGTTGAGCCACCCATCTGGGCTTCCTTCTAATCATTCTTAATCAGCTCCTTAGAACATTTGGCTCCCTTTCTTATTTAATGAATCTAACAGCAGAATTGTTTGAGGCAGGTACTTAACAGACATATTTTTTTTTGAGGAAAAAGTATAAGGGAGGAGACAGCATCCATTAACAAGTGACCTTATCTGGATGAAGAGCACGTTTGTGACATCCGTGCCTGTGTATAGAGAGATCACCCTCCCATCTTGGCTGGTCAGTGAGCTCTGGGAGGACAGGGGCCATGCCTGTCGTGGCCAGCACCTGAGCCCAGTTTCTAGCCCAGCACAGTGTCTGGCCATGGTAGGCACATGATAAATACTTGTTAATAAATAGATTTTAAAAAATTTTAACTGCAGAAGTTGGGGGTTGTTTTCTCTTTAAGGAAAATAATGTAAGTTTGCATCAAAGGCTATTGTAGTTTGTTTCTAAAATTTGCCATGTAGTGAAAGCTGATGGATCAGTTACAGTGAGGAAATGCTGATGAAGGGCATGTTTCTTCCGATTGTGGAATGTTTCTATATTCTACAGTCTTCTTTCTGAGCCTTCTCTGACAGTTCAGCATTTCTAATCTCTGCTGACGCTCAGGAGAGTCCAGCAGGTAATAACGGTGCCTCGGTATCACTTATTATCTGACGACCAGTTTACCATGACCTGCCGATTTCCCCTGCGCACTCAGGTGGCATCAGTTCCACGATGACTTTCAGAAGTGTTTCTGATGGGCAGCAGTAAGGCTCTTCTCCCTTTTCCAGGTTATCTGGTCCGTGCAGAATCAGTAGCTGGGGCTTTAATGTAGGGCAGAGCCTCTCAGCCTTAGCACTGTTGACGTTTTTGGGCTGGCTAACTCTTTGTTGTGGGGGCTCCTCTGTGCAGTGTGGGATGTTCAGCGGCATCCCTGGCCTACCCACTGGATCCGACTAGCACAGCCCCAGTGATCAAAAACGTATCTAGACAATGCCAGATGTCTCCAGGGTGACGGTTTATACGACAGATGTAGAGGGCTTTATTGAACTGACTGTGCCAGCACCAGAAAGTGATACTGGGAGAAGATGACCTGGTAATTGTCCATCCTTGACGAAAGCATGGGCAGTTCTCATGGATGGATTAATGGATATTTAAGAGTTCTCCCCAGTCCGAGCCAATGACCTAGAGGAGAATACCAGTATCCTCTTTAGCTTCCCCTTTATCCCAATCTATCCCTCTTAACAACCGTTCCATATTTTTTAGACTTTTAAAAAAAATTTAAGTATACTTGGTATACAGTATTATAGCAGTTTCAGGTATACACTATAGTGACTCATTGTTTACGTTCCTTACAATGTGATCATCTTATTAAGTGTAATAGTCACCTGTCACTGTGCATACTTACCGCAATATTATTGACTATATTTCTCCTCTGCCTTCTTGTGTTGATAAGGCTAAAATGCTAACATAAGGTCCAGGGTCTAAATTGGACAAATCGACATTTTTGTGTGGATCTGCTATGTGTCAGCTACCTGCTAACATGCATATTACCTCATGTAACCCTCTCAGTCACCCGAGAGAGCAGTTTTCTAAAAATGTTTCACCAATGAGAAAACAGGAGCACAAATTCACACGGCTAAGAGTCTGGAATAGGGAGCAGGTCTTCTGACTTTGTTAAAATCATATTTTATCCTGTTGTTCAAATCTAATCACTATCTACTTCAAAGTTTACTCAGCATTGACTTAAAACTGTGGAGCTCCTGGTTTGTAATGAAAGATGTGTTAGGAGAAACATATAGGCAAGGTCCTAGAGCCATAGGAAAGGCGGATCTCGGACATCATTAGTCAGTGACCACTCCAAGGTCATTATTCTGTTTTTCACCAAATAGTGTTGAAGGTTTACTCCATTCCAGGACCTTTATACACCAGTCAAGACAGACAGGGTCCCTGCCCTAATGGAACTTACATTCTAAGAGGGGAAATATTTAGTACACAAGTAAATAAATGAATAAATGATATAATTACAGATTGTGATAAGTGCTGTGAATGAAATGAACAGTGAGAGGAGATGGAGAAAATTGGGTGAGGGGGAGTTACTTTATATAGGGTAGTCGGGGAAGTTGTCTTGTGTCTTGACACCTCTCACGACACTGACATGCTAGCTTTTTCAGGCACTTCCTCAAAAAGTATTAGTACTTGTCTTTGAGTACAAAGCACAGAATAGGTGTCCTTAAACCTTGGTTGTATGAAAAGACCATGATTTTTTTTCTTTGTAGCCTTCGAGTCTAAAAACCTGTAGTAAGTGTAATTGGTTTCCTTTTGCTGCTGCAAAAAAATACGCACAAACTTAGTGACTTAAAGAAACACAAATGTATTAACTTACAGTTCTGGAAGCCAGAAGTCATCAAGGTGTCAGCAAGACTGTGTTCCTTCTGGAGGTTTCAGGGGAGAATCTGCTTGTTTGCCTTGTCTATATTCCAGAGGCTGCCTGCATTCCTTAGCTCTTGGCCCCATCATCTTTTTTCAAAGCCAGAAGTGTAGCATCTTCCAATCTCTCTCTCTGATTTTGGTCCCTCCCTTGTATTGACTTTGGCCCACTCATAATCCTGGATAATCTCTCCATTTTAAGATCCTTGACTTAATCATGTCTACAAAGTCCCTTTTGCTGAATAAAGTAACACATTCTCACATTCAGGAATTAGGTCACCTTTGGGGGCTGTGATTCAGTCTATCGCAGTAAGCAATAAATGTTACTTTTATTTCCATATCCACTCTGTTTTATAGATGAAAAACTTGAAGTTAAAGAAATTGCCTAAAATCACATCTTGGATACAGCTTTCTGCTCACCCTATCTAAATGCATCATCTCTATTCTCTCTCTATGTAAGCTCTGTTTTTTTTCTTTACAGCACTCAGCATTTCTTTGATTATTTATTTTGTTTTTCTTATTACCACAAGGGCAAGAAGACATATGATTTTATTCACCCAGGTATCACCATCACCCAGCTCTGTGCCTGACACAGTGTGCCTGTCTCTAAAGATTTTTTTGAATGACAGAATGAAGAGTCTTTGTATGCTTGGGTATATAGAGCCCAATATCCTACAAATTATTCTGTGAAGTGGCTTCTGAGAGGTGAAAAATCCTTCACCATTTTTAAAGCATCAAAGGAAAAAGTGAACTTCAGTGTTGATCTGTAATTCAAGTTGATAAAGAAGGGACCGATACCTGGCACTACCCTTTCTCACGCACCAGTGCTGAACTTGCGTTTCCAGTAGGCTGCGAGGCTCTGAGCGTTTGAACATGGTACTCTGTGTTTGGAACTCTGATATACAGTGCTTCATATATTGACATGTTAGCATCAACAGACTTTTGGGAGAGCTACTGAATAGCTCATTTTATGATTTCAACCCATGATTAGAGAAGAAAGGCAGAAAATCTAACTGCATGTTTTATTACCGCTTCGGGTTTTCTCTATTAGGCCTTAAAATAGTAACAAAGAAGGAACAAAATCACAGTTCTTACTGAACTATGCAAGTGGCACATTTATGGGTTCACTTAGCAAGGTGTATAGCACATAAATAAATAAAAAAAATAAAGAATAGGTCATCTGCAGCACTGGGAAGGAGTTCTTAGAAGTCTTAAGTAACAGTACCTTATGCTAAACAACTAAGTGAAGGAAAGCTCAACAGAACCTCTCCTGTTATCTGGAAGGCAAGTTATATTTATATTATGCAGCTACTTTAGTCTGCTCCCCATTGTCCTTAATCTCATCTAATGAAGACACTGTTTAGACAAACTTGTTTTTCCATCAGACACCCTTTTCTTATAGGAAATAAATACCTGTCATTCAAGGTGTTATTGAAACAATGGGAAAATATGAAGCCAAAGGGAGACGTCTTCTCTTTTAGCATTGCTTTTAAGATCTCAGATCCTTGACCACACTTGTAATATATTTACTTTGGTTCTAGTGGCCAAGGATGTCAATATTCTTTTCGATGAGTTAGAAGCTGTCAACAGTCCTTGCAAAGATGACGATTCTCTCCTTCACCCTGGAAACCTGACCAGTACTTCAGATGATGCCAGCAGATTGGAAGCAGGGGGAGAGGTAAGAGTGTGTGATTTCTTAAAAAGACAGTTCTCGATCCAGGCGAGAAGCTGTAAAACATATGCCAAGGAATTGTTTAACGTAATCATGTCATCGAGCTGTATGCTCCTGGCAAACACGGGGCAGGTCCTATATTCTGTGATATCGCCCGTGGGTCTGGTATATTTCAGCAGTCCCAAATCTACCCAGGCTCGAAACAAACCATCAGTGAGTCGGGCACTTCCCATCGCATACCTGAAGACGTTCTGCTTATACAAAGGAGGATTCTTAACACCACCTGTTATTTTAAGAAAATTTACATTCTGGGTGTTACTACTAGTAAAATGTAAGCTTTACAAGGATGGATTTCCTTGTGTAACTGCCCCCCCACCCCCGCACCAGGATGAGTGACACAGAATGCACCAGCCCGCAATAGACTGTGTTGCCTCGAGCCTCTCTGAGTTTCCATTTGCCTCTGTAATCTGGAAACTCGTTGTAATTGTATCTGCTCCTGTGTCATTTTGGAAAAAGAGGTATTTTGTTAGAGGCGTTCACTGTTGCTCAGGTTGTGTCTCCATGGAACTTCCTATCTCCTTTGTATAGGCACAGGGTATAGGTAATAGGGACACAGAAGAAGTCATTTATTTACTACATATTCCTAATATTTTTGTTATTCTGGAGCCAGTTAGCCAGGGAAAAGACAACAGAGAAAAATGTTTCCTTCTACCAAGTTTCCCAGCCTTCATCCAACAAGCACCACATGCTACAACTATCCATGTATTTTACTTTTAAAGGAAAAACTCATTCTGTCATCATCTTCACACAGATAGTTGAATGCCATAGACTAAAGGTGGGGATCCTGAAAGGGACCTCAAAATGCAATTATAGTCTCATCCCTTTAATTTAAATGAGGAAAGGCTCTCAGGCATTGCTAACCCTCCTCCTGGCCCCTTGGCTGAAGCCCTCATTTGCAGGCAGGTGCTGATGTGCTAAATCCATAGGGTAGTTCCCTTGCTTGGAAAATAATTAAGAAGGTGTTTACTTGGGTAGACTTCTGAGTACCTCTTAAGGCAAAAGTCAAAAAACACTCATTGAAAATGGGTCATCAGTTGTAAATGCCTGTGGTCATGGATGTTTCCATCCCTCCTAGCTGAAATGGTCCTTTCTGATGAGGTTGCATGCATGGCACTTGTGTGCAAGAATATGGATTCCAACAACGGCCTTGGCCGTCAGGCCTATCTGCCTTCTTCATCTTGTTATTTGGGAACCAATGTATACTGTGACCTAGGAAAAAGGTAGCTCCCCCATTTCTACTTGCTAGTTTACAGACATGTGTTTGAACTCTATCAGCCTGAGAATCCTGGCCCCAGCGAGGGCCGCCACACTTGGTGGTCTCTTTCATTGTTCATGGTTGCAACAAGCCCATGGAGCCTGGATAAAAATGACACCTACTATTTTTGTTCTTTAAGTTTTATAGATGAAATTACTGCAAATTAATATTTGTAACTTATATGTAAGTGATAAAGCATAATAAGACGAACACCTTGAAACACCATCGAGCTTATTTTTCAAATTATGGTGGCAATCTAATTGTAGGTGACTAACTCCAGTTGTTTTTTGATGGAATGGAAAATTAATATTAGTGTGCATGCAAGTAGAAAGAATAGGTATTATTTCGTAAAACTTTTGTCTCAGATATTTTGTGTATGTTTGCATATATACACAAATGTCACAACGTAAAATGTTTTTCTTAATGTGGCCAAAAGAATTCAAAAAACATTGAACTAGAATATTACTGTAACCTTCAAAGCTACTGCAGTCCCACCCCTTGACCCTACCAGAGGTACTGTTTTCCTGAATTTTTGTGTTTTTTGTTCTCTTGCTCTAAAAATTGTTTTACCACATACACATGTAGCCTTAACAGCTTCTTTTGGGATTTATTTTGTTTAGTGCTTTATAAAAAGTGGCATCATGTAGTATAAAGTGTTTAGTGACTTGGTTTTTTTCTGTCAATGTTGTTTTAAGATTTATGTTTATTACTAAATGCAACTACAGTTCATTCATGTTCAGCGTTGCATGAATACTCCACTGTATAACTCTTTACAATTTATTTATGTATTCACCTGTTCATGGACATTTGAATTTATTCCAGTTTTTTATTTTCTACGCTCATGAACGATGCTGCTATGAATATTCATATACATGTCTCCTCATTGTTTTATCAGAAATTTCTCTAGGATTGTATGCTATACAGATGTTTAATTTTATAAGAAAATGCCAGTGTTTTCCAGAGTAAATATGTCAATTTTCACTCTCACTTGTAGGATATGAGAATTCTCAGTTGCTATATATCACTGCCAGCATTTGGTATTATTAGGTGTCCTAAGTTTTGCCCAGTTGACTCCATGCTTTTTCCAGTCTTTACTTTGTTTCCTCTTGTCTACATTTTTATTAATAAAAATGTGCCCTGGCCAGTTGCTCAGTGTGAGAGCGTCGGCCTGGAGACTGAAGGGTCCCGGGTTCCATTGCGGCCAAGGGCACGTACCTCGGTTGCAGGCTCGATCCCCAGCCCCAGTTGGGGTGCATGCGGGAGGCAACCAATGGACATGTCTCTCTCACTGAAAAGCAATGGAGAAAATATCCTCGGGTGGGGATTAAAAAAGGTAACTTGGCTAAAACCCAAGCAAAGTGCCTTGAGCTCTCCTTGCCTGCAGCGCCCGCCCAGGGCGCCGTCCTGCGAGCGCCTCAAGCCCGTCCTTTCTCCTGTGTGCAGGCGGCGCGGGGCAAGCACAGATCCAACGGCCTGCGCTTCAGGGACGGCAAGTGCCGCATCGACTACGTCCTTGTGTACAGAAAATCCAACCCCCAGACGGAAAAGAGGGAAGTGTTTGAGAGAAACATCAGAGCAGAAGGATTGCAAATGGAGAAAGAGGTAAATGGGAGGCTTGGCTGGGAAAATATGAGTATACACCCGTTCCTATCAAGAGGCAGTTTGGAAACTAAGCAGTTAGTCCTTACGTTGACTGAATGTTTCATTTGGTCAGAGTTTGCCAACCTGCGCGGTTTGGGAAATGTTCCAGCAATTGCTTTCACGGCGCAGTTTGCCTTGGAAGCATTTTAATAGCAAACGATTTCGTGAAAATCAAGATACTCTGTTCTCATGCAGTCGATTGTTTCGAAGGGTTGTCATTCACCTGACTTCCTGGAGTGTTCTCGTCTCATGGATTAAAGACAACTTTGGATAAAATGCAGTCACCCCACACTGGAGGCTGTTTTTATAGTTCAGGAAACATAGTGAGCTTGGCCATCCTCACTCACCAGAAAAGACTCACCGATTTGGTCCCAAACAGCTGGAACTTACAAAATGATTCCAGTTTTAAGAAATATTCAGGTGGTTTTTATCATGTTCCCAGACTCAAGAGTTACCTTCCCGTATTCTCTCTTCCCCTTCTCTCCTGCTCTGTGTGGGGAGTTTTAAGGATCAGTTTAGTGAGGAAGGTACAAGAGGTCCAGCCAGGCCCCTGTTAATAAGCCACAATGAGACTGGTGTACCCAGAAGTACTGTGGGCATGTGGAGGATTTGGTCCTGGTAGGTGGATTATGTAACTCTTCTCAGATTTGCTCTAAGTATTGTGCAACGATTCCGGAGCTTTTTCTAATCAATAGGAAGCACATGTTGGCAGTTAAATGGTTTTGTTTCTGATGATGCTCATCAAGGCTGAAGGGATAGATCTTTGAAATCAGACATCCTGGGTGGTTTTTTTTGTACGGTGCAGGTTACATGCCAATCTTGGGACCCTTCAGATACAAGGGATTTTTCCAGATCTGTTAGACTGGTCTCAATGCTTGAGGATTTAAAAAACAAGCAGTATTTTTCTAGAATGCCTCCAAAAAGAGAATTAGAAAAACAGCGAGATGAATGTGGCCTTAGGGTCTCATTCTTAGGAAAGTGGAACCAGGTTGCTCAAAAGACTGTTCCAGTTGGAAGTTCCCCTGAGCAACAAACAGAATTAAATATGCTGTTGTTTTCCATTAGTGTGGGGTTCCAGAAAATCTTTCCTATACCCATTGAATATATCTTTGATAAATCTTGTTCTTTAAGTTCTTCTTGAGGCAACTGCACACTCTCTTTTCTTAACATTAATTATGCATTAATTTTTTTACCTTAAAATTCATTCCTTCATCTTTCATTCTTACTGCTTAATTTCAGGATTTTTATATAAAGAAATAAAAGCTCTGAATGGCCACATGATCCTCAATAATGTCAGTCCTTTTTCTGATTCATTCTGACTCTTTCAAAACTTTGATTCCCATCAAAACTAGGTAGTAGCTTCATTCAATTAGTCACTCCAGTTCAGGAAAAGGGAAAGGGAAATGTTGATATTTCTTTTGGGTCTAGCTGGTAGATGACACTCCAAAAAAATTACCATGAAGTAAAATTGACACTTGTGTGTGTGCACGCAGTTCTATGAATTTTAAGACACACACACACACACACACACACACACACACACACACACACACACACACACACACACACACACAACCAGCCACCACCATAAGCAGGAAATATAATGTTTACATCACCCCAACAAACTCACTATGCTATTCTTTTATAGTTATAGCATACCCCCCACCCATACCCCCTGGAAACCACTGATCTAAGTTTTATGACTGTTTTCACCATTCCTGGGATTTCTTCTACATAGATCTCTGCAATGTCATTTCATGACTTATTAGTTAAAACTCAAAAAAACTAATACTTCTTAAAGTATTACACATTACTGAAGAGATAACAAATCTCTTACATACCTCCTAAAACATCTAAGCTACAGTATCCGTCTATCGGATTTAGAGCGGGAAGCCGAGAAGGACTGTTCTACTCTTTATATAGTTGTGCTGACCATAGTGTGATGATGAGCTGCTTTCAGGATTGTGGTTGTATACAAGGTAATTTTTTTTGGTTATAAGTCTTAACATTTTTAATAGCTTGGTATTTATTTTAATGTATACTAGGGGGAAAAACACAGCAATTGGGAAAAGGGTGAAGTCACCATATGGCAAAACTTCATAAAAACATTCTAAGCGTCTCTTCCTCCCCTTCCCTCCAAAGGATCTTCTCGAGTGGCAGCATCCCTGTTCTTTACCCCACAATGTTCTCTCCATTACTGACAGCTAGGAACCGTCTTCCTGAGTAGCCTTTCCCTCCCCCGGGTCCCTGTCTTTTCCTGCCACCCCCACCCTTTGCCTGAGTGGCACAATGGGCTGTGAGTCAGCCTCTGAGCTCTGCTGCGCATCCTCACGGCCTCAGTCAGCTCAGCAAGGAAGTTATAGAAAAATTAATTTTTCCCTGCCACAAATAATTAAAATGTCTCTTGGTTGAACAATAAACCTGTATCTACATGGCATTGTTAGATTTAGAAACCATCAGAAACACTCTTATTTCAATCAAGTGTTTTATAAACAGCTGCAACAGAGAGGCAATTTTAATGACTGTTTCAGCTTCCAGACGTTACTCCAACCTTTTATGCATAAAACAAAGAACTTAATTCAAGTGAGAAAGAAAAGTGAAAACCCAGGAATCCCTATACATCCGAAATGTTTAACACTAAGTACACTTTGTGAATTACTAGTATCTCCTTCATAAGCTGTGTATCATGATGTCCAAAAATGGTGGCAAATGTGTTATACAGGTGCAGAGGTTTATGCTTCCAAAAGGGCAAAGACAGGCTCTGCAGCTGAACAGTGTGACAGTAAGAGAGTCCTTATCTTTTTAAACATTGACTTTCAAGGGGCACAGCTAGGAGAATCTTTATCTCGTGATAAAAGTGAGGACATAGTCAAATTTAATCTTTCTCAAAACCTTTGCCCCAGCCTGATGGGTCAGCGGGTACGTGCTTCCTTTGGCACCCTGGGCCTTTAATATTCTGTAACCTGTATTAGCCCAGGGAAAGCAAAAGAACAGCAAAATTCCCCAATAAAGTATTATTTCCAAGTGATTTGCTTCTTAGTGCCTATTTATTTAAAGAGATTTCCATCCTAAAGGTACACACATATATGTTAATTCACATTTTCTGTTTTAGATATGTTTAATTTTATGTCCATCATTAACACTTTTGTACCTATTTTGAAATGATTATCATTAATATACAGTTCACCTTTTCTTTCATATAAGCAGTCAAGTCATGGAAGATTTTTGAATTATTTAGAATGTGTGAAAAGCAGTTGTATTAATGGAACAAATTCTTCCTCTTTAGAATCATGCAGAATGTGGGAGAAAACCCATGTCATTACAGTCATTATAAAATAACTATAATTAGATAAATCATTCCATCTTGATGATAGTTAATTCATTCAACAAATATTTATTACACACTCATTCTATGCCAGGCACTGCTTTAAGCACTAAGAGCTCAGCAATGAATAAAACAGATAAAATCTCTGTTGGAATTTATATACAACATAAATAAGTAAATATATATATAAAATATCAATACTTGCTAAAGAGAAGAAAGTAAAGTGGGGAGTGTTGAGAGGGGTGCACAATTTTATAAAAGTTGGCAAAGGTGAGACTCTCTTCCAGGGAAAGAGAGCAGCAAGTGCAAAGGCCCTGAGGCAGGAGCATGCCTGGGGTGTTCATGGAACAGTGAGGGGGCTAATATGACAGGAGTTGACTGAGCAAGGTGGAGAATAGTAAGAGATTATACCAAAAAGACAATGGAAGCCAGGTGACATCGGGCCTCAGTCGTCACTGGGGAACTTCAGCTTTTCTTTGAGTGATATGGAAAATCCTTGGACAGTTTTGAGAAGAGGCATGACAAAATCTGTTTTCTATTTTATTAGGGTCACTCTGGTTGCCTGGGGATATTAGACTGGGGGAAGAGTAGAGGGGGCAGGGGCAGAAGCAGGGATATCAATTAGGCTATTTTTTGCAAGAATCCAGGAAAAAGATGATGGTGGCTTGGTTAAGCACGCAGCAGAGGAGATGAGAAGAGTAGAGAGCTTCTGGGAATTACAGACAGATTGAACAACTTATGTAAGAGAGGAGTCATGGGCTATTCATGTGTCATATGCTATTCATTTAAAGAGTTGAAAGAAAGAAGTTGTCATTTACCTGGGTGCAGAGAGGACTGGGTCTTCTTCTAAACATGCTAAGTTTGAGGTGTCCCAGTGGTGGAGATGTTGAGTAGGATAGAAAAGTCTCGAAGACAGGAGGGACCTGGGCTGGAAATACACATTTGGATGAGATCACCAAAGGAGCGGCTACAAATGGAAAAGAGGTCCAAATATTGAGCTGTGGGACGCACCAGTGTTAGGAGTTTGGAGTATAAAGGAGTCAGCAGGAAGGAGCTAGAAGGGATCCTAGAGGGTGTGGTGCCTGGAGGAAATTGTTTCAGGAGGGAGGGAGTGATGGGCTGTATCAGAGGCTGCTGATGGAATGAGCAAAATCAAGACTAGAAAGTTAGCCATTGAATTTAGCAACATGGAGGGTTTGGGTGAGCTGGGCAAGAGACATTTTCGTGCAGAGGTGGATGTAAGCACATAGTTAAAGAGTGTTCATGAAAGAATGGGAGGAGAAAATTTGGAGACAGGAAATATAAATAGTTCTTCCAAGGAAGTTCACTATAAAGGAAGGAGAGAAATGGGTGGTAACTGGAGTAAGAAGTTAGGTCAAGAAAGAGTTCTTTCTATTTAAGACAGGAGAAATAACTGCAGGCTTTTGTGCTAATAGAAATCATTTATTTGAAAGGCAAAATTGATGTAGAAGAGCAAAGAAAAAAATTTTTTCTTTTTTCTTTGGAGCAATGTCCTTGAAGCAACAAGGAGAGAATGACAAGTTCCTCCCATTGCATGGACCCACCTGCCTGTATCTGCGCCCACAAATGCAGCCTTCCCTCTGCTGCTGAGGATGCCCTGACCATGCTCCTAGCT